CCCTTGTGGTCTCTTTCAACTCTATGATTCTATGATTCTATGATCTCACATAACTCAAATTCTTCCTCAATAATTGTGGAAACAGGAGTCTCTCTGCCATGATGGCACTCACAAGTTGGATGACAGTGTTATCACACTTGGTACAGGAAGTCCCCCCAAAATAGCATGAATGCACCTCAGTTTCCCTAGAAAGCCTTTAGGGGTGGGAAATTGATTGATTGATTGATTGAGTGAGTGAGTGAAGTAGTGCCATAAATAATAATAATAATAATAATAATAATAATAATAATAATAATAATAATAATAATAATAATGGCATGGAGGGACTAACACTTCCCCTCTAACCTTCCACATCCACCCCGCTACATATACACTGCCTTGCTGAATTAGACCAGAGCCTATCTGATTCAGTTTTGCAGTCAAATATTTCAAAAGGCTGACAATGAAGCGCAGTCTACACCATTGTTAAAAGTGAGAATCATACTTCCAGAGATCTCTAGGAGGTGTGATTTTTCCATCAACCCACCACGCATCCACCTTAACAACACCCAAAGGAATCATGTGGAGAAACCGGAGGTCACCAGAGCATCATTTCTGCTTTGGCAACAATGATGCAGCATGGCCTATAAGCCTTTGTGTATATCAAAAATGAGATGGGGCTGGCTCCCTGGATCCTCCATGTCCTCCCTCAGCCAAAGCAATCGTAGTTAATCAGAGTCGGGATGGTCATCTCTCAACAATTGTGCCATTCCAGTCTAAATGGCGCAGGGATGAACTCCAAGGTCTCTTCCAGCTCCAAAAATTCAATGATTTTATTAAATGAATAGCGCTTTATTTCAAAAAGTGCTTGACCCTTATTTAGATAATCCCATTCATTTCTAGTCCTCTTTCATGATAATCATGTTTACTTAGAAGTAATTCCCACTAATTCTTTTTTTAAAGAAAATAATAATAGTTTGATTATATTATTATAAGCTAGGTCCAGAAAATCTTCTGCAGGGCATAAAATAAAATGAGGTCACTGTTCTGTTTAGCACTCAAAGAGTCAAATGAGCTTTCTTTGCCTGATTAAACTTTATATTGTTATTTCAAGCAACCATAATGAAAAAATAGAAAAATAAAACAATGCTCCTGACTTGCATTTCTTTCCAACAGCAACTGCCTCTGCTTATGGAGTTGGCAAAGGGCTTGCTGCCCTGATGTCCTATTTTGGTCTCGGCAGAAGATCAGACCCTTAGAAAGGGAATGCAGGAAGATATGGAGCCTGAGAGAAACACAGAGAAAAGTGTGGTGCACCAGCAAGGAGGTTGAAAAGCAAAGTCACTTCAGTCCAAGTCATGCCCAGCCCAGCAATAGATCCAGGCAACAGTCCAAAGAGAGATCCAAGAAATAAAGCAAGGTCCAAGGCTATCAGGCAGCATGAACAAACATGGTATGATTATTGCTTCCACCACGAAGGTTGTCAGCAATAATTTCCTATTTGGTGCTCCTGGGCTATTTAAGGTCTGGCAGCCTCCTGCATGGGTTGTTTGATTCCTGAGCATTTTATATATAAATGCTCAGAGCATCTCCACTCCTCCTTCTCTCGATTGTGCTCTACTGGGGTAGGTACTTCCAGATCTGTGTCAATGTCCATGTCTGAGTTCACAACAGAAGGCTGTGGCTGCTGGAGAATCTCATCCTCTGTCTCAGGCACTGGGATGTTTCCCTTGTCACTCTGTCTTTCTGTCTAAGTACTTATTGTGTGTGTCAGAATCTGCACTGGAGTCCAGGGCATGACACCTGAGAGCCTCCGAGGGCTGCCCCAACCAGGGATAAGAAAAATGTTTGACATCATTTGGAAAATGGTTGGAAAAATGTGTTTCTCAAACATCAGGAAACGCGGTCAAGAAGACTCCTGGAGTGGAGCGAATCCTCATAGTTTGGGAGTTATTCTGCACAAATTTGCACATGGTTTCTTTCAAGAGAAAACAGCATTTTGTTGCACAGAAATACTATTCGCTGCACAGAAATTTTGTTTTTGTACAGAAATATTATTTTCTGCACAAAAAATGCTGGGACCTGCACCGAAAATACAATTGGGATAGCAACATGTTTATATGAGTGTGATAGACACACAGACTGACAGATCTTTTTGAATCTTCCCATTATGTGGCATTTTTGAGCAAGGTAATTGAGAGGGCGGTTGCTCTTCAGCTCCAAG